TAGCGAAGGACTTGCGGTGTATTTAAACCCTATAAAAACATAATGTAGCAGCGATGTTGCGGAGGTTGTTTCAGATAAATGCACCTAACTTTACTACAAACGATAGTGCCTATATAGGCACACTATTCACGCAAATACAAGCTCGTGCCCGTGCTGTTACACACATACACAATCAGACTGACACAGCCAGACTTGCCAATCTCTCTCAATTCGTCTGCTAAAACGCGCGCCTGGAATCTACTTTAGGCTCCGTTTCGCCTGCCTGTCGAATAGAAAGAATATCAAAATGTTAAATGTTTTACTATAATCTTTCAACAGTTCATAATATATTGTAATGTGTGTTGTGAGTCTTTACATGCTACCGATGCCACAGATTTGTAAGTGTAGTCTCTGTTTGCAAACCGGTTGTCGAACGAGAGCCTGAGCATTGACAGATGTGACACACGCGTTAGCACGTAGCAAGCTCCGAGAATATAGCACCCATTCGACACAGCAATTAGCACGCACCTACCTAAAAGCACTTATTTCGCACCACTTAGCACTTATTTCGAGTAACGTTAACTCTTATCGCTGACATCACAACTGCAAGCAGCGTATAGTATGTGAGCACAACTGCACAACTGCAAGCAGTGAGCACAACTGCACGCAGCGGAGTGTATAGTGACAAGCATGGCAAACTTTTTATTGTATCAAGCTTATAATCGAGATAATGAAAGACGACATTTACGAAGAGAGAGAGTTTTCAGAGACAGAACACAACCGTTTGATGCCTACAGTGATACAGAAATTATCGCCAGATATAAATTGCCCAGGCATGTCATTGCTAATCTAGTATATATAGGACTGTATATGTAGGACTAGTATATATAGTAGTAGATCAACTGGACGATGAGCTCAGCCCAAGGACAATGAGATCTCGAGCCATTTCTGCGTCTTTGCAAGTATTTGCGGCATTGCGATTTTATGCAACTGGAAGCATTCAGCAAACGGCTAGTGATAGACTAGGAATCAGCAAAGCATCTATGTCAAGAATAATTTACAAAGTGTCGCGAGCGCTGGCACACTGAGCCAACCAATATGTTTAGCGTAACCTAGCAACAACTGCGCCGCGTGTTTGTAGCTGCCGCCAGCTGACGCGAAGTTGTTCGCTAAAAAAATATCTGGTTAATTTGTTTGCATAATATAATATATATATATATAATAAATGATATATGCATGCTATAATATCATCGCAGTTGTTACTGCTTGTGTGAACAGAGTTTTTTTCTTGTCTCTTGTGGAATCAAGCGCCTATCGCGAAGCGTGTCTTACGCAACCTAATCAGAAACGCTCTATATTAACAACGCACGAGTTTCAGACCACAC